AGGAATGCCATATATTGCATACAGAAACTAGTTTCAGAACAGCAGCTTCTCCATCAGGAAGCTTATTTGTGTTTGCAAAGTTTCAGTTTTAGGCATAAAAGAAATAAAACTTAATGACTTAATGATTATTGGTTTAATTAATATTCCCTCTTTTTTACATTCTTGAATTTAATTTTCAAGTTTTATGTTCACTTATTTTGCACCTATATCAGTCTTCCATGTATTTTTACTTAAAGAAATTAAAGCTTGCATTTATATGACCATTTCTATTGGGGAAAAAAGAAAGGATCACTTTAAAATAGTGTACACGAAACCATTACCAGTAATCCTCGACTTTGCTTGTATTCCTTGATGACTTGTTCAATGTTCTCCACTAGTCCTGCCTGAGCAACCCACTTAATATTGAAAGTCTCTTTCAGAAACATAGATTCCATTCGCAGGTTCACAAGCAACATATCCAAATGCATTTGCTGAGGGAACAAAGCTACATTTATTTACAGACTTAAGCTATGCATGTTAAAAGAACACTTTTAGTTTAAACTAGAGACTAGAATGGAGGGGTGAGAATAGAAAGTATTAAGCACAGGGAAAGAAGGTTTGCACACACAGCAAAACAGACATTTTAAGCTTTTTAAAAATATAAACATTTTCAATATATATTTGTATTTGAGTATTCTCATGAACTATTAGAACATGAACAATTATTCTGTACAATACAAATTTTCATATAATTGCAGGGAATAACCTCTATCATAAATTGATCAAGTACCATCTTAAAACTACCAGGGTTGTAATTTGTTTATTTCTCCTATGAACATTTTCTTCCAGATAAATAGATGAATACAGCGCAATTTATGTATGCTGCATTCATCAGCCTTAGCAGCACATCATTATTAGCTTTTTTTGTTATTTTTATAATTTTGTGTAGGTTTTGTTAGCGTGCTCCAGCATGCTCAATGCAACAGTGACATCAGCGTTTCACTGCTTTTCTAAATCAGGCTGTAACTCCTCAAAATAGTCTTTTCTATGATAGTTAAATTTTAGTTTGTTTATTTTCTAAATTTAAACTCACTGTATATATTTTTAGGTATGTTTTAGGATTAATTTTTTCTGGTGAAATAAAAAAAGAAATCATATATTTCATTACATTATACTTTTAAGTTTACATCCTTTACTTAAGTAACAAAAGGAGAAAAGTACTAACTGTTAACTCCTTGCTCAGGAATGCATTTTCTTTTGGAACCTTCTCAATTTTTCCTGGTCCAACATTTTTACTGATACACTATCAAGAAAAAAAATGAATACACTTATCAAATAAGATTCTTAGAAAAAAATGAACAGGATTTCTGTGGATAAAATATCTGCTTTAAATTTTATGTTACACTTTACCTGAAAAATCACTATAGTGATTTGAAATAGATCAAAGAATGGTATATTAACTTTAATGTTAGTATTGAACCCCTTTGTTTTGCTATATAATTCCTCTAGTACTTGCAATAAACAAACAAACAAAAAACCCGCAAATCCCCACCACCACTAAAAAAACCCAAAACCACAGAAAAGTGTTCCAAAGCTCTTAAATCTATGTACAACTTCCTACTGCTTAAGATCTGTTTGGACATCTATTTTATTTTCCAGCACTTTCATTTCAGGTTCTTGAAGTATTTAATTCTATTAACAATCAGGAAGGGTTTTCAGATCAATGCCACCAATAACTCTCCATATCACATTTTCATTTCATCATTAGATAGAAACTGTTAGTTACTCCTACAGCCCTTTAAAATAGATTTAAAACCCCACTAGATTCCATAAAATCGTAAAAATTTATATAGAGTGTCAGAGCAAATCTACATATATTCCAGAGTTCTGTCTCCAACTATGTCAATTAGTGGATGCCTAAATGGAAATTAAGAATGGTAAAAGCATATATGATACTCCTTCCAGATAGTCTTCTAATGTTCAACCATTTTCAGCTCAGAGACTTCCTAAACTAGAAATAGCTGCTGTATATTTAAGCAACTCTCAAGGTATTTCTCTCCCATGTACCTTTTCACTCTTCTCCTGGGCTGGTACAGCTCCCTGCCAAGATTGCTCTCCGCAATGTGCTCTGCAACACTCTCTCCACTGGCAACTTCCTCTCTCTACAAGAACTGGCCACTTACTCCTGCCCTGTATTTCCCATTTCTAAACAATCACATACCCATGAAAGGACCCAACCACTTTTCTTAGGGTGCCTAGCTGCTTCTCAACAGCTTTTAGTGAAGTACTTCTCTGAAAGCCTTTGGAAAATTCAAGTAGACTACATCAGCTTGTTCACCCTTATCCACAATTGTTTGTCACATTAAAGAACTTCAGGAGGTTTCCAAAGTATTTGACAGTACTTTTTTGGAAAGTATTTCTTGGGAAAGTGTTTTACAAAAGTCACATTGACTCTTCCCAAATAGATCATATGTATCTGGGTGTCCTTTAATGCATTCAATTTATTATAATTTCTAATAACATACTTGCTTATTAGCCAATGTTATTAGGCATATTGGCCTATAATTCACTCCAAAATTTCAGGAACCTCTCTTTTTACATTGGCATCATATTTACAATCCTCCAGTCTTCAAATGCAACAACAGTGCTAAACAGCAAGTTATATGCGTGAATTAGCAATTCAGAGTTATTTCATCCTTGAGCTATTTCAGACCTCTTCAGTGAATACCGTAAGACATGCTAATTTTCATTTTCTCTTTCCTAAACTTTTCTTAATAAGTATCACGCAATGCCCTTATTGGCTAATAATGTAAGTTTCAACAGCCTCTACCCTTCTTCTCTAAGGATTTAATATTTTTAATGTCTTTTGTGTTCATTTTTATATAATGCATGGTTGACCACAGCTGCAAAAGTTATTTTGACCTTTGCCTCTTCAATAGGAATGTTGACTAATTGCATTATGGTCACTTATACAGAATGCCTCTTCAATTATTAACTTTTCAGTGAGACCTTGTATATTTACCTGAACCTAAACAAAAGTTGCGTCTTCTTGTGAGCTCACTAACACACTGTTCCATGAAACACTCTTTGACACAAACAAAAAATTGGGCTGCTATGTTTGGTCTTTACGTAACATTCGCTTAATCTACATAAGCAAGTCTCCTTTTATGTTGTGTTGACTCTCACTATTAGTTCAGCAGTGTCATCCAGACTATTTCTAGACTTAATTTCAAAATACTTGGAAAACCAAGATATCTTCCTACAAAATGAAGGGGAAAACATCTTAAAGACTTTGACTATCTAATTACAGTACTGTGAATCCCATAACAATTAATCAGAACTTTCTTAGGTAAAATTTCTACTTAAGTTAATGATAATACTGCAAAGGTTAGTTCTGCAAAATCATGTCCAAGTCATGTATTTTGTTCAAAGGACAGAAGTCTTTGAGGATTTCAAAATAATTTTCTATGTCATTTACTACACAGGAAGACCTAAGAACTTCTACTTCAGTAGAATGTATAGTTTTTAAAACCTTAAAGACATCTGGAAAAAAAAAAATAATCAAATCTCTTACCTTTACTAATTCTTGCAGAGTATGCATAGATTCATCTACTGCAACTATGTAGTGAGACCTTGGCCTGTGGTCTGCTACATTTTGTAACACTCTGAAACATAGCAAGTACAGTCAGGGCCCGTAGTTGGAGAAGCATACTGGGCTTTCATTGTTAAATGCAATACAAAGAATTTGTAAAATCTTGCAGAGCTTTTCAGAGCATGACATCTTCATATACATGTTCCTTAACAAAGGAGCACAGCTAGATATTTTATTTGTAAAGAAGTTCAAAGGATAAAAAGTAACATCTGTAGAAGATACTAACTTAGCTTGCTATAGAGTCCATAATCCATTTCCAGTTTTGTGCCAGTTAACTGGTATCATACTATAGATTGAGAATTGCTAGTAATTTCTTAAAATATAGCACCAGTGCAACAGTCAGATAAGTTTTCAGAAGGCCTGTCTAGTACTAAAGAAACAGAAGTCTCTCTTTGACTCAGTAAGAAGTGCCAAAGAGTGTTCTTAAACCCACCAATCTCAATTTAAAAGCCTCAGTATTCACCAGTAGATTTGAATTTGTTATCTAGCTGGGTATCAATTATTGCGCAGGGGAAATTTTTTTACTTACGCTGCTAAATCAAGAACATGAATGGTTGGAATAAAATTATTTCCATCTCCAAAAACAGGTATTGCAGGAGTCTCACTAAGCCAACCTATCTGAAAATATAAACAGGGAATGATGTGAGGAGGAAAAGGTTACTTTTAACTAGAGCTAAAAAAGTAGCATTTGTTTACTAGACAAGTCCATATATTCAGGATTTAAAGTTCAGTTTCTTGAATGATTAACGGAACTGCAGTAAAGGAAACAATTCTTAAGAAATACTGACTGGCAGCCTACTAAAAACAAGAAACTTTTTTTTTTTAAAGAATATTCTTTGATCTTGACAAATGTTGGTTTGTATCCCAAATAAAATAAATGCTTAGGGAAAAAAGAGAATATAATATTGAGAAGAAAGACATTTTTCCTGATTCCATTGATATGGCAGACATGTTCTCACTGTAAAGTACATATGGAGATACTACTCAAAAACTATGGAAAAAACTAAAAAACATATAGAGCCAAAACAGTGGAAAATACTTCCACTGTAGCTAAAACATTCCAAAGGGATCAAATACTCAGTTTTGTTGAGAAAAGCATTAAGTTTATGATACTAAAGCTACTAAAAATGCATTCCAGTGTAGTTTGCCCCTAGAAATTAAAGGAACTTTTAAAAATTACTAGATGTCTACCTTAAAAAAGTAGTGCAAGACTCCTTCCCCAGCTCCATATTGATGTCCTGAGGCAACAACATAAGTTGAAAATTTATGTTTGTTCTGTGAAGTAAAATCAACAAGTTTTCATAAAAATATAGTACTACAAATGGGATACTGGCTTACCCTGAAACTTGAGTACTTGTGTAATAAATATACAAAGTATGTAAATTATATTACTTAATATTTGTAGCTAGATCAATTGTTGCGTATCCTGTGGTTTCATAAGTCATATTGCTAATATTTCCTTCAAAGAAAGCATTGCTCAATCAGAATTGACCTGTCTACATATGAATTCTAAAAAAATTTTAAGAGTTAAAAAATTGGAATTTATGTAAATCAATGAAGTAAACAGGATAACTCATGTTTCTACTTTTTACTTCCAAGGAAAATAATTCTGAAATTAATTGATGCTATTTTTTAATCACGTTTTATTTGCAGTTGACTCCCTAAAGAAGTGGGAAATGATGGATTAATGACTTTAGAATTGCTTTACTTTCATTTTGATATAGAATTAAAAAAAAAAAAAAATCTGTGAACTATCTAAGTGTTTTCCTAACCACACATCACAATCAACCCACATATTTTTTTCTGGCCCTTATTGCATAATGTCATAAATTTGCCTGTCCTGGCCACCTGTTCATATATAATGTTAATGCTTGGATCAGTGTTGAGGATGGTTATACAGAGGAGAAAAAAAAAAGAGATTTTAAAATAATCTGAAGGAGAAAAGCTTTCAAGAAAATCTTTTAAATTAGGACCACTTTGAAATTTTTAAGGTGAAAACAAATTTATTATATAATTCCCATGTTGTAAAGACATTATATATCTACATAACACTATGTAAAAGAACCTGCATTTACCAGCAGATGCTATAAATGCCCAGTTTTGGGATCTAATTTTTTTGGAAAAAAAATGCATCTTTTGTTATCATCTTTATAATATTTCAGAAACCTAAAATTAAGAACACTTAGCCAATTTTTGACTGTATAAGCAAAGCGTCATATAAAGTGATGTTATAACATCAGCGTATTTTATCTGTGTATGTGTTTTTAGCTATCTACTTATAAATAAAACTTTGCAAGAAAAGCTACCTCAATTCAGTTGAATGCAACAGCTTGTTAGCAATCACAAGAAACATTAAAATTAGAAGACATTACAGATAGCATAAGAGCTCCCACACTTAGTTTGCTTGGGTAGTACCATTAAAAAAACTGTTTGTATCCTAAGAGTAGCAGCTCCCAGGATTGCTCAGGACAAACTGCGAATATGCCCCAGGAGAAGTCATACTGTAATTTCCGTTTCCCAGCAGGAAAAACTTGCCTCCTGTGAAAGCACAGGAGGTGCTTTTTCTTATCTCCTCTAAGAATAAAGTAACATAGGATTTTCTTCCACTATCCTTGCAGTAGCTTCTGCAGTAGTCACTTGTGGAGACAAACCACAGTTTGGCACTGAGTGCTATACTACACTGAAATAAAAACCTCTGAAACAGGTTCACAGAATCACAGATTGGTAGGGGTTGGAACGGACCTCTGGCGATCATCTAGTCCAACCTTCCTGCTAAAGCAGGATCACCTAAGAGCAGATTGCACAGAATCACAGCTAGGCGGGTTTTGAATATCTTCAGAGAAGGAGACTCCACAACCTCTCTGGGCAGCCTGTTCCAGTGGTCTGTCACCCTCACAGCAAAGAAGTCTTTTCTCATGTTGAGATGGAACCTCCTGTGTCCCATTTTGTGCCCGTTGCCCCTTGTCCTGTC